CAGAAAAGGAAGAGGTAGAGGCAGGGGTAGGCATTGCTCAGCCTCACCCTGCCTGGGCCTGGCACTGCCCACCCGGGAGGTGTTTTGATGGGTCTTGAATCACCCTGAAGGTAAAGCTGCCAGCGGGTACCAAATCCAGGAGGGCCTTGTCCTATCCTGGAACCTATGTGGGTTCTGGCAGGTGGACAGATTCCATGGCATTGGGTGCTTCTGGGGGGTGGTGGGCTTCACCTCGCACACTACCAGCACGCTCTTATCCCCGCAGGGTCCTTTGCCAGCACGCTGCCCACCTACCAGCAGTCTGAGGTGATGGTTTTCATCATGAACAAGGTGCCACTGCCCTCCTCGCAGCAATCCATCGAGGCCGGCAAAGCTGGGTGAGAACGGATGCCTTCCTCCCTCCTCTTGCTCCTTCCACCCTGCTCTCCCTGCCTCTCTCCTGTGTGCGGTGCTGTAAGTCTTTGAACGCGGGGCTGAAACTCTTCCCACACTGAGGTGGCCTTTGGGGACAGAGGGGGACGTGGGCACGTTATTGGAAAGACTGAGCATTGAAAGCTTCCACCAAAGGGCAAGGGAAGCTGAGCAATGTGTGATCTTTGGTGAAAATGCTTCGGTGTCTGCTGCAAATGTGATGCCCAGGGCCTCTTGAAACACTGGAGCGTCACGGAGGAGGATGTTTGCAGGTGGTGGGGCTGCGGTTGCGTCCCGTTTTGGTTGGAAAAGACCTTGAAAACCACCCAGTCCCACCGTTACCCCAGCACTGCCCCGCCCCCCACTAACCATGTCCCTGAGCCCCACATCCACACGGCTCTGAAACCCCTCCTGGGGTGGGGACTCCCCCCTCCCTGGGCAGCTCTTTCCAACCCTGACAGCCCTTTCCGGGAAGGGATTTCCCCAATATCCAACCTAAACCGCCCCTGGCACAACTTGAGGCCGTTTCCTCTTGTCCCATCACTTGTCCCTTGGGAGAAGAGACCGACCCCCCCTCTCTGCACCCCCCTTTCAGGGAGCTGTAGGGAGCGATAAGGTCTCCCTGAGCCTCCTCTTCTCCAGGCTGAACCCCCCAGCTCCCCCAGCCACTCCTCACAGGAATTGTGCTCCAGCCCCTTCCCCAGCTCCGTTCCCTTCTCCGCACACGCTCCAGCCCCTCAGGGTCTTTTTTGCCATGAGGGGTCCAAAACTGACCCCGGGATTCAAAGTCTGATTCAAAGTCTCCATTTCTTTGGGTACCTGCTGAGATTCAGCTCTCAGGACCTCAATCCTAGAGTGTCATCCAAAACTAGCCAGCAACTAAAAATAATATTCCAGGGAGTGACTTGCAATGTCTTAGGGCAACGAGGTGGCTGCTGGTGAGGGAGGGCTGCCCGTGGCTTTTGACAAGCTCGTGTGTGGCTTTGTGGGACTGGCTGCTCAATCCTGCCTCCCCTCCCGCGGCGGCACGCAGCCCCTCTGAGCTGCCTCCGAGCTTTTATTAAGGCTGAGCACGAGGTGGTATTTATACCCAGCGGTGGAGGAGGAGAAGGGAAAACACCCAAACAACATAATTGCTTAAGAAGTGTGGGAACAGACCATGAGAGCTATTTGGAGCGAGGGTGTCGGCGCTGAGACATGAAGGTAGGGAGCAAACAGATTTTCATGCTATATTTATCTTCAGAGTACGGTCAGGCTCTTCCCACTTGTCTCTGGTGGGAGAGAGACTTTGCCGGCGGATAGGAGACACGCTCTGCTCCTCGCTCACATGGGGGTAGTTCCCAACGCCTGCATCGAGTCCCGGTTCACGCTGTAGGAGACCCGCTGGGTGCTGGGTGCCGTTTGGCCAGGGCAGGAGCCGAATGGGGATCGTAGCCCCGGGGTGGCAGTCACCACGCTGGCTGTGTCGGGCTGTTTGTCACTGCCCCTCTATCAGCTCATGAACTTCCTCTGGGAGAGCTTTTTAATTACATCTGATGCCACGTGAAGGGTGGTGCTTGCTCTGGGTGCGTAGGTGAACCGGGGGTTTGTGGAGGAGCTGCAGCCTGCAGTTAAGCTTCCAGGGATGCGGTGTAGCTCAGTCCCTGGGCAGAGGTAGGCAGCACAGGCAACATGTCATGGGTGAGGGGACAGCCTGGGAAACCCTGTGTGCCCTTCCAGTACAGGGCTAGGAAAGACTGAGTTCAGACAGTAGAGAATTCAAGATTCACGCTTTTTTGCATTAAAAACCCACATGTGGCTGAAGTGGAAGCATGGCTCTTGGTGGCTTTGAAAGAATCATAGGATCACAGAACGGTT